GTCCCCTGCCCTCATGACAGGACTCAGTACCATCTAGACTATCCCCCATAGAAGTCTATCTAACCTGCTCTTACATATCTCCAGACATGGAAATTCCACAAGCTCCCTAGGCAATTTATTCCAGTGTTTAACCACTCTGACAGTTAGGAAGTTTTTCCTAATGTCCAACCTAAACTTTCCTTGCTGCAGTTTAAGCCCATTGCTTCTTGTCCTATCCTCAGATGCCAAGGAGAACAATTTGTCTCCCTCTTTCTGACACCCTTTTAGGTACCTGAAAACCACTGTTATATCCCCCTCAGTCTTTTCCTTTCAAAACTAAACAAGCCCAATTATTTTAGTCTTCCTTCATAGGTCATGTTCTCTAGACCTTTAATCATTCTTGTTGCTCTTCTCTGGACCCTCTCCAATTTCTCTACATCTCTCAAAGTGTGGTGCCCAGAACTGGACACAATACTTGAATTGAGGCCTAATCAGCACAAAGTAGAGCAGAAGAATGACTTCTCGTTTCTTGCTCACAACACTCCTGTTGATGCATCCCAGAACCATGTTTGCTTTTTTTGCAACAGTATCACACTTTTAGCTCATATTTAGCTTGTGGTCCACTATGATCCCTAGATCCCTTTCTGTCATACTCCTTCCTAGACAGTCGCTTCCCATTCTGTATGTGTGAAACGGATTGTTCCTTTCTAAGTGGAGCACTTTGCATTTGTCCTTATTAAATTTAAATTTCATCCTATTTACCTCAGATCATTTCTCCAGTTTGTCCAGATCATTTTGAATTATGACCCTACCCTCCAAAGCACTCGCAATCCCTCCCTGCTTGGTATCATTTGCAAACTGAATAATTGTACTTTTAGTCTAGGAAGGAAATTAAGGTTACGCAACATAACCTGCACATTCTCCGGCCCTTAATCGGCCCATCCTTATCTTTCTGTAGTCACTGTTTATCTTTATACAGGACTATGTAGCACTTTAAAGAGTAACAAGATGGTTTATTAGATGATGAGCTTTCGTGGGCCAGACCCACTTCCTCAGATGAAACAGTGGAAGAAAATTGTCACCACCATACATACCAAAGGATAAAATTTAAAAAAATGAACACATATGAAAAGGACAAATCACATTTCAGAACAGAAGGAGGATGCGGGGGGGAGGGGGAAAGGAAGGTGAATGCCAGTGAGTTAATGATATTAGAGGTGGGGAAGGGTAGATGTCTGAGAGTTAATAGTATTAGAGGTGATAATTGGGGAAGCTATCTTTGTAATGGGTAAGATAGTTGGAGTCTTTGTTAAGTCCCCTGCTTTAGAACTCTACTTGTTATGCCTTTCCAGCAGGATTGTGAACTGTTAATAATACTCTGAGAATAATTATCCAGCCAGTTATGCACCCACCTTACAGCAGCCCCATTTAAGTTGTATTTGTCTAGTTTATTGATAAGATGATCACGTGAGACCGTATCAAATGACTTACTCAAGTCTAGGTATACCACATACTCCACTTCTCCCTTATCCACCAGACTCGTTATCTTATAAAAAAAAGTTCAGGTTATGCATGGTTGGTGGTATTCAACACTGTTGTAAATATAAATTATGCGCACCCAGGACTCATACTGTCTGCAGAACTGTTGTTCTATACGCAGGCACACGAAGGCCACACTATTTATATATGCCATACAGACGAAGGACACAATTAATTGTGGTCCAATCCAGTAGTCCTTAGATCATGAAACTTCCACTGATGTCCATAGGTGTTGCACTTTGCAACATCATGATGGATTTAAAATCAATTATTTAAAAAAATACTAGGACTAGAGTGAAGGAATGTATCAGCAAATTATATTTAAAATGTTCAATTGTTTACATTTCACTAATAAGTGAATTGATACTAGTTACTTTGAATCTCCTTAATAAATTTTGCGCAGAACCCCCCTTTTGCACAAGAACCCTTATTTCTCAAAAAATGAGGTTTACAGGTTCTTGTGCAAAAGGGGTTTTTTGCACAAAATGGACGCATCTACACTGCTGTTTTGTGTACAAAAACATCTTCCGCAAAAAGCATCAAAAGAGAATATGCAAATGAAGCGCAAGAAGTTGCTAATGAGCGCTTCATTTGCATTGCCCCTTCCGCAAAAAAGAGGCAGTATAGACATAGCCCTAGCTTTGAGAAGGGGGTCTGAACCTGCCAATGTCCCATTTACTGTATTTCTGCTGACCAGCCCCTCATAGTGAGGAAAGGGAGGGGTTGTAATTTCAGCTGCAGGGGGGCAAACCAAACACAAGCCATTGTGAAAAAGGAGTGTATCCAATTAGCTTAAAATTTAAAAATATATGCTAGTGGGAGGAGGTAGATTAACTACGTTAAGGCTAGGGGCCTGGCATCATATAGAAAGAGTAAGCCCCCCACCTCCTCCACACACACACACTTACAGAATGTTGCAGTATCTATAGCTGTGGAACGTTCATAAGTAGCTATGTTATCTTTCTGAAAAGCATCCTGGGGTCTATGCACAGGTGCAAGCAGGATTTATTTCCACCCCAGAAGCAAGAGTCAACAACATGGTGTAAAAGGGGTAATTCCAGCAGACAGTTTATTGTGCACTTCTCTAGTCCAAGGCATGTTCAAATCTAGTTCCCGCCCATTCAAGGCTGTTTCGTTAATGTTTCACTGAATTCAGTTAAGTGTTAGGAACATATTTCTGTGCTCACCACCATCTGGGAGTGCTGAGAAAATGCTTTAATGGCATTTGTAAACATTGGGCTTTTAAAAAAAAATGTTTCCTTTGCATTAGGACTTTCTATCGACTACAAACAGCAGAAATGTAAGAATACTGTGTGTGTGCGCGCGCACGCACATGCACACGTGCATGCTCACTCTTACTCTGGGTCCTTTCCTGTTAAAATACTAACAAAAAAGTGAGCATACATATTCATTGTGCCAGTGCAGGCTAACACCAAGCCACAATCCTGCAAGCCCTCTGCTTATGCAATTTCCCATCAGGCCAAGATTCCCCTTGATGCAAACAGAGGTGACAGTAAGCAGCTGTGCCTTGGTGCGCAGCTCCAGCAAGAGCAGGCTAGGCTGCGGCAAAAGCCAGCAGGGAGCTATTGAAAGAGCTGGCAAGGACCCCAGTTGCAATAGGACAGCACCGGTAAGAAATGTTAAGTTAGTTGCATCCAGCTGTGAAAGTATTGAAAATTGCATTCAGTGGAGTTTGATGAACGAATGGCTTGCACTTAGACTTCAGCCTGCAAGCCCTTATTCAGATGAGTAGCTGTTATTCACAGCAATGACACCACTGTGGTCAGGGCTACCCACATGAGCAAAAGTGGGTAGAATCAGACTCGTAAGCTCTAATCCTAAGCCTGTTGAAAGTGCTAGGAATTCAGGGTGCACAGCAGGGTCAATTCACAAGGCCAAATGAAAGGCACTGATTTCAGTGGCCTTCCCAACCTGAGCAGCGTGACTCCCACAGCAACCTGAGGGGCAGGTGTTATTGTCTAAGCAGTCAGTTGCTCAGACAGTGGCGGGAACGTTTCCCCTGCTTGATTGGTGTCAAGGTCCACAACACAGTCAAGGAGCAGAAATGCAGATTGCATATTGCTGTGTGCGTTAGGTTTGCTACATAACTGTGTGAATGCAGATGACTGGGATCTCTACGGCTGGTCCAGTCTTGAAAGCAGTTAGGAATACAGAGGGGCTAGCTTGCTTCACTAGCACGCCTCGCTTCTACAGCGGGGGGAGGCGGGAAATTATCCTATTCAAACTCTTCCAAACTGAGCTGTAAAATCTAAGCTACTGAACCACGTAAGAGAATAAACTTGCGGAGAACTAATATTGTCACTGCCACACACCACTAACACCTCATGAAAGCTAATCATTATGTGAAAACACAGTTTGGTCAAGGCTACTGAGTCTGACTCCTCCAAAGGTCATGATGGAGGAGAACAGGATGTCAGAATAAGGTGTCTCCTGTGAGACGTATTTAGAGTGTTTAAGACAGAGCCAGGAAGTTCGGGAGATGAAGGAGGAGGGAGAATGGAATTCAATGGGCAGCTCAGTGATCTGTCAGAAGTGACTTGGTTGTCTCAGTATAGTAGACAGAAAAAAGGTGAGTCTATAATAAGAATCATCACAGCAACTGATATGCCCATTGTGTGTCAGGGAAAGACTGAGGTTTATTGGAGGGGATTTCATGTCACTACATCCCGACCCATTTCTGCTAAAAAAAATTACTACATGACCCCAGGAGAGGGGGGACTGAAGTTTGAGCCCCACCACCGAGGGCCCAGAAAGTCTAATGCTTGGTGACCCCATTAAAATAGGGTTGTGACCCACTTTGGGGGTCCCCATCCAGATTGAGAACTGCTGGTCTATGGATTGGAAGTCAAGACTTCCGAGTTCTTTTCCTAGCTCTACCACAAAGTTGCTTTGCTGCTCTGTGCCTCAGTTTCCCCAGCAACGAGAGCGATGGCATTACCTTTCTCGCAGGCATAATTAGGGAGTGTCCATACAGTGCTTACCCTCAGAGGAAAGTTGCTTTAGGCACGCAAAGTGCCAGCGCTCTGAGATGATCAAGTCACCCTGCAACTGGCCTTAGGTCCAAGCAAGGGGCACTTCGATAGCATGGAGACAGGGGGAGCCCTGCTGAGCTGCACCTGTTCTGGGAGCAGAGCATGAGGCATGTGCAGTAAGCCAGTCTGCACCCCTGAGCCGCAGTAAGCATTTGACAAAGGAAAAGAGAGAGGCGTGGAGAAGTGTCTCACATGAGCAATCAGTTTAACTTGTATTTTTCACCTGTCACTTTATCCTCCCCCTCCAACTGACTGCAGGAGCCGCACTTAGCAGCTCCTCGCCAGCTGCCACAACGTGGACCCCACCCTCTAAGCTCATCGGCTAGCCTGGTGAGCGGCTGAGCGCTTTGGTTGGTGAAGATAACTTTGATCCAACCCCCAATGTCAAGCACCTCCCCCCGCCTTACTTTCTGAGAACAGCTGGAGTGAGAAGTTGCGCGGCGAGTTTGTGATTGGGTGGCAGGCTATAGCAGGGTGGGTGAGGTATTTACCTGTCCAGGTAAGTCAGTGACAGGTCATAAGCAGAGCAGAAGAGGAGGTGTCTGTCTGTTTGGGGTGGTAGCCCTTTGCTTGGGGAAACCGAGGCTTTTGATCCTTATCTGTCTCTCCTAGTTCAGGTGAGTTAATCTCTAACTGAGCTGTGTGTGTTTCAGATAAAGTGGAGGGGTTCTCTGGCACTGGCTACGGCTGGGGTGGATTAGGAGTTTGGGAAAGAGCGTCTTAACTCAGACTTCCTTCCTGCCATTTCAGTATCTGTTGCTGGAGCTGCAATCTGCCTGCTCCGAAGGCTGCAGACCAGGTGAAATCCCTTGGAGGTAGAATTACTGGTATCTGTAAAGCTTTCTAGCTTTCTCATTGGTGCTGGGGGGACAGGGGAAAGGATGTTCCTCTGTAGTCAGTTTTGATGACCGACATTAAAAGCTTCAGTTGAGTGGCAAGTAATTTATTTTGCCTGCTTGCTTTGGAGAAGATAAGAGGGGGAGAGGAGATGATAAACAATAAGTGCAAGTCCCAGTCACTCTAACAAAGTCATTATTTTTAATTTTATGGTTATATTGTCACTGTGGGGGTGGGGTTATTTTTTTAAACTTCTAACTTAAAGTGTTCTTACAATAGCTTCCATCTACCATGGAGAAACAAGAGTATGTAACCAAGAGTAATTGTGATAATACCTCTTCCTCTCCTTTCAGTTTGAGCCTTGATAGCTCTGACCATGTTCTTGTAGAACTTAGCAGCCAAGAATTTTGGTAAAACTTGCGTGCTTGGGGAAGCGGTCTGCTGAACAGCACTGTGGACTCGTGTGTAAAGCTTGTGTTCTGCATTTGCTCCGCTCTGGCCAAAAAGAACCCTTCATGACTATGTAGCTGTGTCACTAAAACTTGTTAGCAGCTGCCATAAAAGCAGATTCCTTGTATAGAATTAACTGCTGCCATTGCTGATGGGAGTTGTAAAGTTTTCAAGGGCAGTGGTAGCAATACAGCTAGCTCAATTTGTATTGTAAAATGACTTTCCCCACGAAGTAGAAAAGCTGGGTTTTTTAAAATTTAGTTTCCCATAGTTTATAAAAATCAAAATGAAATATGTACTTCACTAGCAAACGGGCTAGTTTTTTGGCAAACAGGAAAGATTGACAACTCCTTTGAACCTTACAAAAAGGTTTTGAACAGCCCTAGTGGGGTTGAAGTTCATGAGGTTAGTTTCTCTTCCTCTTGCATTCTAAGGAAGAAACTGAAATTCTCTCTTTCCATTTTGGGCACCTTTGATCTCTTGCTTAAGAAAGTTTCTGTCTTGGTAGTCCTGAGTGTTTCTCTTCCCCTAGCTTTGCCCCAGAGAACAAGTGAGAAAGTTAATCATGCAACTCTGACAGTTGTATATTTTTGTACCTTTCTTATGTGACTGATACAGGTCCAGATGAACGTTGTTCCCAATGATGAATTTTGGTCTCTTCATACAATGACTTTTTTTTTTTTTTTTTTTTTTTTTACACTTTATATGGAATCTAAAGCCCTTCAGCACAAATTTGGAGAGCCTATATTTTGTTGTTTGCTATATCACTGATCACAGGGCATTGTGTTTGTTGTCTAGCTGACAAACTCTTGTAAACAGGAAGCTGACTTGAACTAGCCACTTCAGGTTTCTGTCACACAATTTGGAGTAAGAATCTGACATCCCACAAACTCCAATTCCCTCTTACAAGTTTATGGATGGGGAACTAATGAAAATTACAAATACCACTGAAGCAAACTTGTGAGTCTCGCTGCAACTGTAAGCATGTGGTTTCTTGCACTGTTAGCATTACAAAGTCACAGAGAACCCACAATGTCCTAGAGTCCCTTAACATCTTAACCTGGTCTTCATGCTGGCAAACTGTTCAACAGCTGGATATAAAAACTACCAGCTATCCTAGATCAAAGGGTGGTGGTTTATTTAAAGTAATACTTTATCAAACATGAAATTGAGACTGCTGTATGCATTGAGACACAATATCTACGACACAGCATACCAGAATGTATGAGGAAGAAGTTTCTTTAAAAAAAATTCTCAGTCTGACTAATCCTGAATGTGTGTTCTTGATGCTGTTTAAGGGCAAAACAAAAACAACCTTCTCCCCCCCCAAAAAACCAGCTGCTACATTTCTGAAAGCCTCATACCACAATGAGTTGCTTTGCCATTCCTTCTGATGGGTAATATTGACTCTAGTTTTCAGTGGAGTATGTGGGGTGTGTTTTTGGTGGTGGTTGATTGTGTGGTTTTGGGGTTGTTGGGGATTTTTATGGCTACAAATAAGTGCACGTTTTTGTAAGCTAAACTTTGTAGCCTCTCTACCTGAGTTAATCACATCCTCTAAATCCTTAGTGGTGCATGGAAGGATTGAGCCTTTAAAAGGCCAGTTCATTCTCAGTCAACATTTAACCTCCATTTCAAAAAAGCACCAAGTCTGACAAAAGTGGAGACGTGACAACTCTGCCTCCATAAAGTTTGGTCACTAAGGTCTCTACACACTGGTCTGAAAGATGTTTTTAAAACAAGCCTCCTCTCTGAACTTGCCACCAGGTATGAGGTGCTGGAAGTCTTAGGAGCTAATTACGGAAAACCATGTACCTTGGGTTGAGCCTCTGTATCAAACATATTAGCCTAGAATCATTCAAGTAGCTGTTGGTATATCAGGGGAAGAAATGACTTCTAAAAAGGCAGTCCCTACATATGGGTCATGCATCCATCAGTTACAACTTCCTAGCTAGTTCTAATTACTTGGGGCAGTGTTTCTTCAATGGCTGTTTTGACATGTTGGATGTAAAGAAGAGCTAGTCGTCATAATTCTCAAAATCAGCAATATTTGTACCTCACTGACTAATGGGCCTAACAAATATGGGTTAGAGATCTGATTTTTTTTTTTAAGCCTAAATTAGAGTTCGTGATGGCAAGCAACAATATTTTGGCATGTGACCCAGGGAGAGTATGGGTTTGGTAAGCAGCTTTATAATGCAGGGCTGGTAGCAGACTTAATAATTAAGCTTGTGACCGCATGGTCAGTAGGGGTACGTCTAGACTACAAGCCTCTTTCGAAAGAGGCTTTTTTGAAAATCTTTTGAAAAAGCATTTTGAAAGAGCATCCAGATTGCAACCTCTTTTTTTGAAAAAGCGGCTCACTTTTTCGAAAGTGCATCCGGGCAGTCTGGATGCTCTCTTTCGAAAGATCCCTGTTTACATTCAAGAATGCCTTTTTTCAGAAGAGCACTTTTGAAAAAAGGCGTTCTTCCTCGTGAAATGAGGAATACCACTGTCGAAAGAGAAGACGTGATCTTTCAATTTAATTTTGAAAGAATGCGGCTGTAGTCTAGATGCTGGTGAAGTTTTTGAAAAAAGGCTACTTTTTTCGAAAAAACCCTGCAGTCTAGACACAGCCTAGGAACTGAGGTTGGGAGAGAAAACAGTGTTCTGTTCTCAGCTCTGCTACTGACTTGCTATGTGACCCTGGCAGAGTTGCTTAGCCTCAGCTCCCTCATGTAGAAAATAGGGATAATGCTCTCCCACCTCTGCACAGTGCTTTAAATCCTAGGATGAAAGAAGAGTTCAAGGTCTCCTACATAAACAAATCATCACTGAGACAAGGAAAAAGTAAATGTCTCTGAATTCCAACTTCCATAATTTAAAAAAAAAAAAAATCTAAGCTCACAGTCGCATTAAACAAGTTACTACAGTTATCTGGGCCTCTGAATCCAGTTTCACAGAGACCCCCTTAGGCCTGTCTGAAGCAAAAACCCGTTCCTCTAGGCATTACTGCCATGTGTCTTTCTCCAGGGAGAGTAAACTCTATGGCTATGCCATGAACACACCCACCCTAACTCATGATTTAAGTGAAGACTCACCTCTCTGTGGCAGCTGACAAACTTGCATCATTTAGAGGTGTGGAGTGTAAGAAAACTAGCATTTTGCACAGAGGAGATGCTCTTGGTAAAGCAGTGTGCTTGCCAGTTTAGTTAGCAGGCTAGTAAAACTTAACCTGTTAACTCTCATGCCTTGGCTATATTTCTTCAGTCTTAGCCACACTACAAATTGTACCTTCTAGCAACAAATGTAATTGAAGCAGGACTAAAAATTGTTTAAACAAAGTGACAATAAGGACAGAGTGGTTGGCACAACTTCAGCAATTGCTTCATCCCATCCAAGCATGTAGACTGAGCCTAGCAAAGCAGAGAACTATTGTATTGCTTTTGCTCTGACTCTCTTTTCCCTTACCCATTAACTACTGCCTTACCCTCTTTACAGAGACCCCTAGACTGTCGGGAATCTCGTGATCAAAATAGGCTCTTTGAATTGGTGGCCTGGCGTTTACCCTACTACAGGTTTATTGAGCCCTGGTGTCTTCCAGATTTTTCTTCTAAAGCCACTAATTTGAAGGGACTTTCAGCACAGAAGGATGATCAAATCAAACAGAGCTGAAGTTTTTACTTTGAGTAGAATGCGAATATAACTTGTCTGAATTGGCGTGAGTGTTCCAAATATAACTCTTAACACGTCATGCTCTTTCTCCAGCTTGAATTGGACCTACTCCATACCTGCTTCTGGAAGTTCTTGCTCCAGTGATTTGTGATATGCCTAAAGAGGGTTTGTGCCTAGGGACAGCTGGTCAAGATTCGGGCAGTTGTGACAGCATGGTCAGCACTAACTCAAACCTCTCTGAAGTTGTAAGTAAACCCTTCAAGGAACCTTATTGTCTAGGGCTGGTAGCTGATGGCCACGTAAATGTAGAACAGTGTTTCTTAAATTGTGTTCTGTGTCACAGAACAGTTCAAAATCGCTGCCCTTAAAGGGGCAGGTGACTTTTTTTGCTCAATAACTTTTCCCCAACCTTTTTTTTCCTGGGTGTTCCTTTAAAAAAAAAATTGTTTGGTGTTCCTCAGTCTTAAAGTTTAAGAAATACTGATGTAGAAGGTGGGGATTTTAGGTAGGCAGCAAGTTCTCAGTTCTATTGAATAGATATTTGCAGGGAGGTAGCACAAAGAAGCCCTTGTCCATGGATCAGGATCCCATTGAATTAGTTAGTATATAAACATGGAACAAGAGACAGTTCCTGCCCCAAAGAGTTTTTTTTCTCCATTAATTCTTAGGTATATTCTAGCAATCAAGCCACAGTACAGTTCAAACATCAGGCAGACACTTAGCCCGGGATGGGGAATCTCAGACTCGAGGGCTGATATGGCCCCTGGCTTCCCTGGATCCAGCCTCCAAGGCTCAGGGGGTCTTTCCCCAGCATAGGGGAGCCCACACTGGAGCTACAGCTTCCCCACCATGGGGCTGAAGCATACAAAATCAACTAGCCTGGGCTCCCTTGCGCTCTGGTGCCTGAGGAGACAATGAGACTTAGGCACTTTAGAAAATATTAAATGTGGGGGAGTGTTTTTCTTGTTAGTCGGGCCACGCCAGTGCAGGGTGGGTTGGTTGTGTGGGGTTGGGATTTTTTTGGGGCTTGTGTGGCCCCTGACCCAAACAAGTTCCCCACCCCTGACTTAGCCTAAGCAAATCCCAGTGCAGTGAGACCTATTCGCGGGCAAACGTAAGTTTGCAAAACAAGTAGATTGCCTGCTTCCAACTGATATGCAGGTGGCCTTTGTGTTTGCCAGTGTTCTGCACAGCGTGTGGCTCAGAATGGCTTAGTGAGTGGGAAGTATTAATTTGCTGCTTCTAAATTGCTAGAGTTCTGATTTCAACCTGGGTTGTGTTAGGGTGCAGGGCAGGAGCAGGCCACTGTTTGGTCCCCTTTGCAGAGATCCAGCTCGCTAGACTCCTCCCACCAAAGTGTGACCAACAAAAACCCATTCCAAGTTAAGCTAAAGGAGATGTGTCAAACCATTCTGTACTCTGCTTTAAGTCCCGCTAAGTCAGTAATGAAGCCAGTTAAGTATTTGGCCCAGTAGACGGTGAAAACCGTGCAACTGCACCTCTCCGTTGGATGCTAGTTTGTATCAAACATATTCCAGGATTAGGGAAACTGACTAGTCCTCTGATTTGGAGCATATCGTAATTAATGTGCTGTAACTGTTTTGAACAGGTCCTCCCTGCTATTGCACACTAGAAATAGACCTGTGTATAACTAATAGAGATGGGCAAACCAGTTGCTATAGGATACCAGCTCCAGCTTGATGTCTTTTTCCAAAATAAACTTAGAAAAACTCCCTTGTGTGTGACCGGTTTTCTCTTCCATGCCTTCAGTCTTATAGACCTCTAAAGATGCATTGCAGAGTTGAAAAGCATGTTCCGCTAGCCCTGACGCACAGGCTTGATGTGATGATGGAGAAGGGGAGAATTGTTTACAATCCACTGATTGAGACAGGTCCCACAGTGCTCCTCTAAAAGGAGGGTTATGGAGAGAAGCCACCATCCTCATAAGCTTCTGAATGTCTGGAGGCTTGCCAAGGTTCCAACACTCCGTATGGATGACACACACCAAGGCAGCTTGTCTGTGGTACAACTAGCCAGTCACATGCCTGACGGGATTACCATAACATAAGAACTAGGGGTCACTAAATGAAATTAATAGGTAGCAGGTTTAAAATGAAAGGAAGTACTTTAGCAGCACACAGTCAATCTGTGGAACTCCTTGCCAGAGGATGTTGTGAAGGCCAGGATTTTAATAAGGCTCAAAGAGCTAGATAAATTCATGGAAGTCCGTTAATGGCTATTAACCAGGATAGGTAGGAATGGTGTCCCTGGCTTTGTCAGAATCGGGGAATGGCCAACAGGGGTTCCCATTCTGTTCATTCCCTCTACGAGCATCTGGCATTGGCCACGGTCAGAAGACCGGATACTGATCTAGATGGACCTTTCGTCTGGCTATTCTTATGTACTGGAACTGGTGCTTCATAGAAAAGTTATTGGTGGCTGCTGGACAGGATTCTAACTGCTTCATCAGCAATGGCAAATCTGTTGGGGCTGTTGGATTATATGTCCGACCGAGATTGCCCTTAAGCAGTACTTCTGGTGGTGAGGGGCTGAGTTGTCCCTAGGTAGACTAGCAGTTTGGGTATTCAGTAGTGTCAGTGCAGCCGCATGTGCGCCCCTGAAGGAACAAGCAGCTTCGTTGACACTACAGGCATTCCCCGAGTTACGTGGATCCGACTTATGTCGGATCCGCAGTTACGAACGGGGGTTTTCTTGTCCCGGGGGACGGGAGCGGCGGGACGCCCAGATGCGCCGCTGTCCCGCCGCCCGCGTCCTCTGGGGAGAGAAAAAGCCAGCCGGGGGGGACGGGAAGCAAAGCCTCTGAGGACTCCAGCAGCCTGCTTTGCTCCCCGTCTCCCTGGTCTGTTGGTCTCCAGCAGACCAGGGAAACGGGGAGCAAAGCCGGGGAGCATGCGGGTAGCGGGACAGCCCAGACATGCTCCAAGGCTTTGCTCCCCGTCTCCCTGCAGACCTGGTCAGTGTCAGCAGCGGCTTTGATAGCCCCAGTACTTCTGGGCTCCTGACACCACCACCCTCTGGCAGCCTAGTTCTGAGGGCAGGGCAACCCCCACGGCCGGCTCCGCGCCCCCCCCCCCCCCCCCCCAGCAGACCAGGTTTTTCTCCGGACGCCTGTGGTAGAGCAGCTGGGGTGCTGCAGGTTGGTCCTGCAGCGCCGCTCTGAGCGCTACTGGACCAACCCGGCAGCACCCCAGCTGCTCTGCCCCAGGCGTCCCCAAGTCAGCCGCTGCTGAAACTGACCAGCGCTGACTTCAGGAAACCGGAGGCAGAGTTGCTCTGCCCCCGGCTTCCTGGAATCAGCCGCTGATCAGTTTCAGCAGCAGCTGAATCTGGACGCCAGTTCCAACTTACATACAAATTCAACTTAAGAACAAACCTACAGTCCCTATTTTGTACGTAACCCGGGGACTGCCTCTATAAATATGATGGTAAATGGTGGTGTTACACTTACTTTCCCCATTTGTGGTTTGGCTTGTCTTCTAGAGTGATAACAGCTATGACCATTTATCTGTGGAGGAAAAGGAATGTTTGCTGTTCCTAGAAGAAACTATTGATTCCCTGGATACGGAAGCAGACAGCGGGGTTTCTGCCGATGAGACGGACTATGCCGAACGGTCTAAGCTCCCCAGAACATGGCCGAAGAGAGATGCTGTTCCAAAGAGTAAGATTAAAATTTGCATTTTGTACCCCAGAGAACTTACTGCGTTCTCTAGCCAGCACTGTAAGCCCTGTGACACAGTAAATGTGAGCATAAGGGACAGATTATTGTCCCAGCTTCCCATGCACAGTAAATTAATACTTGGTGGTAATGCATGATTGACTAAGGGGGGAAAAAGTGCTGGGGTGGATGGAAGGGATTAAAGGTTTGTCTTTCTCTAATGCGCCTAGAGTAGATTTAGCACTGAAGCTAAGATTGCCTATTTACCCTGCTGAAAGGGAACTGCTAGTGTGCAGGCCAAACTCTCTATAGGCTGTTTACACTTGTATCCTACAAACGGACATTAAATCTTTTCATCGGGCAATCTGTCACTCAGTGACAACTTAGTATCTTTGCAATAAACAAATATTAGCCCCCTTCCAATAATGCCCCCCTCTAGAATACATTTTACAGTAAGGTATCGTGGCTCTGTTATATTGGCAGCCCTGTTAGAAAGGTTTGCTATGCAAGTAAGTAGGGGGATGAGCTTGGTGCAATGCTCGGTATATAGCTGCATACTTAACATTTGGCTTTCTGTCTAGATTTGGACAATGGGTCTCCCACCGAAAGCTTTGCTCAGCGACAGGGAATAGAACAAAAGGGTGAAAAATGTGTCTCTTTGCTCTCGAGTTCCGCTCCAGGAGCGGTTTCGAGTGCCGGCTACCATAGCCTGCCAAGGAACGTCAGCGCAGCAAGTGTACAAGCCACCCCCAAGGCTTCTGTCGGCAAAACAGCTGACTTCACTGATGGTCCAACTCCAATGGCTCAGACAGGGAAGCATTCATGGAAGATGCCCAAGAGAAGGGAGATTGAGGACCAGTCAAATGACCAGCCCAGTGTGAGTACTCAGACGAAGCCACCAAGTTTGGAGTTCATAATTCTCCAACCCCCAAAACCCTTCCAGGATCCTAGCGGGGCGAATACCAGATGTCTTGCTAAGCCCGGGCAGGTAGTTGGTAGTGAAAGTGAGCTACACTCTAACCATTTAGAGGCAAAGGGAAAAGCTACAGAAGCAATAGGGAATGAGCCTGAAGTGACTCCATCACATTCTGCTCCAGGGAATGCAAGGCTGCCACTCCAAAAGGAAACTAAACCTTGTGAGAAGGGAAGAGAAAGAGCCACCATGCAAGGCAGCCACGAGAAATTAGACTCGGAAGCTTCTCTAGATTCCAGTGCCAAACAAGGGCCTCCCACAGCCCCAAAGCCAAGAAAACTGCCACCAAATATTATCCTTAAACACGGCAGAGTCAACACGGCTCCAATCCTTGATCCTAATCACAATAAAAGAGGGCTGTCTCCATCTTCACCCAAGCACAAATCCAGCACGAGTGAGTGTTCCCCAGAAATGCAGGAAAGAGCTCGGTGGGAGGCTTTGGAGAAATTGGGACTCTTACAGGATAAAGGAAGGGAATCTAAAATCCATGTTCTCAGACCTGTGACTACTCCCAAACCTAAGGATGCCCAGGTGCTGACTTCTAGGGCTGGCAGTAGGGAGAACTTAAACAGCGACGACCGAATCAGTGGTCCTGCTCATAAGAAACCTGACCCGCCACTTGCTCCAAGTTTGAATCCAGCACATAGGGCTGCTTCTGGCTCGAGAGAGATGATCAAATCCAACTCCTTGGAGCGTTCAGGCATAGGTCTGAGCCATGAGGACCAGAACATGGATAGCAGCTCGCTCAGCAAAACACCAGTCCCGGAGAAGATGGCTCCCAGCGTGATCAGGAATAGCCGACCACGTCCGGTTTCCCTGGGCACTGGGAAAGACTTTGTTGAACTCAAGGCATCCAAAATGGATAAGGAGGAGTTGGAGACAAGTGAAAAGCACAAATCTTACCCACTGCAAAAGTTTCCCCGACCTACTTGTGTCAGTGTAAAAATCACCCCTAAAGGCGCTACAAATGAACACCGGCGAGAGGCTCTGAAAAAACTTGGTCTACTGAAGGAATAAGCAAACTAACACTGTAAATTCACATGTTTTATGCAATTGCACCTACCTTTTTATGCTATGGATACAGGAACTATTGTAGTTGCTCTTAAGCAAAATGGGACCAACTGTGTGGGTGAACACATCAGTCTTAACAGGGTTCTAGGCTCACTTAGATTAATTCTGCACACTCTGAACTGGCAGTATGAACAATCCTCATGGTTTGATTTCCAGGGGGACAAGACTAAAGTAATACTGCCATTAGCATTATTCAAAGCTTTGTGCTAAATAGACATCACATGTATATAGTGTATAAAACTTATTTATGCATCATGGGAATAAGTATATGAATGGGAATATTGTCCTAAATGTGTTTGTTGCATATTACTCCCCTAAATGTTCACTGTCCGGACACCATGAATTCCTGGTGTGTGGTTGGATCTAGTCCAGAAAGCCAACTGGGGAAAGATAGGATGGCATGATTGGTCTGGGGGGGGAGGGGGAAGATGTTTGGGGTTTTAATTGAGTCAAAGCTTTCATGACCCTGATCATGTGCCTGTAGGAATGCACATAACTCTTGAAAGCAGTGGGAGCGCTGTATCTGCCTGTGTGATCAGGAGCCAGATATTTTACTCCAGATAGCAGTGAGTAGCAAGCAAGATTTATGCTGCTCTATCAAGAGGTGACTGGCAGGAGAACGTGTGCAGGTATCAGATTCAGAACTGCCACCCAAAAGGAGGAAAAATACAGATTTGAGTGTGGTGGGGTTTTTTTGTTCTTACCTGCAATGTGCCTTAATGTATCCAGCTTTATGAACAAACAACTGCTGATACCTTATGGTCAGCTTTTATGTTATGCACCTTTTTATCTTAAAAGGTTTTTTATTTTGATAATAAACTATTTTAAGTAACTAGAGTATGGATTTCCTATTTTAAAAGATTGCATGTTCTTACCAACATTTGACTGTTGAAACAAGCGTTATTGAGAACCAATAAGGAAGTGTCTCAGGAGTAGCGGTGTTAGTCTGTAATTTTAAAAATGACACGTCCTTCTGTAGCACCTAGTGTACATCTACACAGCAGCGCTAGTTTGAAATGAGCTATGTAGTTTGAGCTACACAAGTTGTGTAGCTTAATTCAAGCATATTTCAAGAGACAGAGCACCACATTTTGAAATTAGACTGCTATTCCGACAAGTCCCTTTAATCCTTGTGGAATGATGTTTATCAGGACGTTGAAATAGTAAGCCCATTATTTCAATTGCATTTCAAAATAACAAGCATGTAGTTAAGATGCAGAAAATGCTATTTTTGGGAATACCAGATGTCTCTGGCCATGGTCTAGACGTACCCTTAGACTAAAATACACACACATACACACACGCTCTATCATGAGCTTTCCTGGATAAAACCCAGTCAGATCTCACTACTGAACTGATTACTTCTGCACTTGAGTGATAGAACCTGAAAAGTGAGCAGTATCTTAATGCAATTATTCACTCCCATTTCTATACTAGGACAGTATTGACATGATATTAAGTGCAACCCACTTTGCACTAGACGGCAACCAGAGCAAAACTGATTCAGCTTCTGAACTGGCTTCCTGGATACGGTGAGTCAGTTAGTTCTTTTAGCACATCAGACTAGAGAGAAGGGGTAGCTACCAATGAGGCAAAATCTCTCTGCTATGGACTTAGCTGCTGCCTCCAAAGTTCATTTAATACAATAAACTAATTGTACAGGTTAATTGGGTCTGTTCTCAAGTAATGAGCCCTGTGCAATGAGGCCTTGCCCTGACTTGGCAAAACTTGCAATGATGCTGTATCCAGGGGCAACATAGTAAACTTTTGAATTAATCATCAGGCACATACCTTGCTGGCAGACTGCTGCCATATGGTTATGCATCAGTTACTATGGAAAACAATATTTTTCCTGTAGTGTATGTGGCTGCCTGAGGCTAGAGGAACAGTTGCTCATGCTTCATAGCTACAGACGATCTGGGGAAGCTGGAGCCAGGGAGCATAACAGCAGCCTAGGACTGTCGGGTCTCAGCTCTGCAGCCCAAACCTCTGTACAGTCAGAGCTGTGTGTTTGTTGCACTCAAATGACCTTGGGACTGGGGAGAGAAAAAACCTGTTACACAATGTTACTGCCGAGCCAAAAGCCACACCTGCCCCTCCAAACTGGCTCTTGGTATTGACAGGAGCACAGGTAGGTACCTGCCAGAACCCGAGTCTTCCTGTGAGTCTGCTAGGCCATGCCTCCTGCAGTCTCATTTTAGTGTCTTCCTCCTAAACGTGGAGATGAAATAAAAATTTGAGGGGAGACCCCAAAAAATGCAACGTTAATAATTTGTCCACAGTTTTTAGTATTTGTATGGAAACCCCCCCCCCCCCCCCCCCCCAGCCTTCTCTGCATTTAGATTGGTCATTTACTACTCAACTCTAATTTTCTGGTTTATATAGTGAACCCATTTAACTTTGATTAACCTCCGCTCTGAGCCCCAGGGATGCAGAAGCATTTTTGTTGTTTTGTTTTATAAATCTAGAGAACAGGCTCTTACCCAACTTTGAACCACCATGGCAGTCATGCATAGCCCATTTTATTCATTAGCAAGACCTTTAAAAATCTTACTGGGCCCTGCCTGCTCCACCAGGAGTAAACAGTGCCAACCTAGCCTGTCTGATCAGGTTGCCTGCAAGAGCAGAGAACTTAGTTCTACAAAAAACTCACGGGTCAGAAGTGAAAGGGAACTCCTAAGCACCAACTGATTCCTTGGAAGATTATTCCTATAATGACATTTATTTAAAATATCGAAGACTTTTCCCCTTAAAAGCTTTGAGGTTAGGGGTGTTTGCTCTTTCTCTGGAGGGTTCTTGGATACATTGTCGACCGCGTGTCTGCACGATCCTACGAATTGCATCTATTGTAAACTCTTCAAGGGGCGGTCTCCTGGCTTTTCTACAGAACACTGCAACTTGTTGTAAGGGAGAACTGACAAGAAATGGTTGCAATAAACTTTGCTTTGGATTTATGAGCCCAGACAAGCTGCTGCCTTCAATGGCTATTGCAGCTTTACATAAACATTCTTCTGTTGATAGAGGCCCTGTTACTCATTCAGGTTATGGGAATTGAGACTCTGCCTCCTGCAGTAAAAAGTATTTAATAACATTTGTTCCTGCTTTGCCTTGTCACCTTCCCCATCCATCCGAAGTGGGGTGTCAGGTACAGCATGGGAAATGGGTGACAATACTCTCCATCCCTCACTGACTAATCCACATTTCCTCTCCAATCTGAGGGTCACAAGCAGTAGCTTGCACACACTGATCTACTGCCACTCATGTGAAGACTGAGCAGCTCTTCCTGAAGTCTTGGGCAGCCATATTCATGAGCAGGAAAATCTTGTCTTCCCTAGTAACTGAGTGACCATGTGAGTGCTGGAGACTCAACACTAAAACATTCCTAGAGTAGAAATTTGCTGGAAGGAGGCCGGTACATCTCTGCCCCTCTACACCAGATACCACATCCGGATTTCCAAAACGCACTTCATTTCCTAGCTCTTTTCAGCCCCCCACCCCTCCAATATGCCTTATTCTGTGTGAATGTGGCAGACCTCCTTGCTCCTATTCTGCTTTTCTCTGCAACCTTTTTGTTCACTCCCCTCGCCCCTCATGCCTAGAACTTAATCTGTGGCTGTTTCTCTACCCAATCTCTGCTCTAGACTTGCTTTCTTCGCTAGTCTTCCATCAGACTCCAGACCATTCTTGTATGTGTTTACTCAGACTATAAGGCTGTGTCTAGACTGGCAAGTTTTTCCACAAAATCATCTGCTTTTGCAGAAAAACTTGCCAGCTGTCTACACTGGCTGCTTGAATTTCCGCAAAAGCACTGATGATCTCATGTAAGATTGTCAGTGCTTTTGCAGAAATACGATGCTGCTCCCGTTCGGGCAAAAGTCTTTTTCCGAAAACTTTTGCGCAAAAGGGCCAGAGTAGACAGCAGAGATTTGTTTTCCGCAAAAAAGCCCCGATCGCAAAAATGGCGATCGGGGCTTTTTTGTGGAAAAGTGCTTCTGTATTGGCCACGGACGCTTTTCCGCAAAAAGTGCTTTTGCGGAAAAGCGTCCTGCCAATCTAGATGTGCTTTTCCGAAAATGCTTTTAACGGAAAACTTTTCCGTTAAAGCATTTCTGGAAAATCATGCCAGTGTAGATGTAGCCTAAGTGTCATAAGCTTAATCATAGTATTGAACTAGAAAAAACAAAAAATATGGATAGCAGAAGCGTCTCACCTCATTTTACCATACAGCTTGCCTGTGATATTCCTGTTGAAAAGAAATTAAGTAGGAGGCTGCTTTTGGATACTTGCTCTTTCTAAAACATTAGCCTTGATTTTTCAGGGACTGAGCTGATGCAGGGCCTATGGGCTTCACCTCTAAGGTCTGGTCTACACTACACGGGAAAATCGAAGTAAGATACGCAACTCCAGCTATCTTACATAGCTGGAGTTAAGATATCTTACGTCATGTTTCCATGCCATCCAGCCAGCGGAAAGCAGATGGGAGCAAACTCTCCTGTTGGCTTCCCTTACTACTTGTGAGGAATAGAAGTACCAGTGCCAATGGAGGTGCCCTTTGAGTTCAATCTAATGGGTCTATACTAGACCCGCTAAAATCAAACCCCGGAGGATTGACCACAGCAGCGTTAATCTTCTGCGTTGGGTACACATGCTCTAAATCAGGTGCAAGGTGTTCTGAATTGAACTCATAACCCATGATCACTTTGGCAAAAAGCTGGCCTGATGGGAGTTGGTTAAAATGTCCCCTTTCTTTTGATGAAAGCAGTTCTGGGCCCCAAAAGGCCAGACTTCCTCATCTGCAAAGGGGGCATTTTGCGGACATGCTACACAGCAGCACCCAAGTGCCAGTTACTGCAGGTGAGTTCACAATTTGCTCACAGGGAAGTCATGTTCTCAAGTTTTTTGCATTTTTATGATTCATTTGGGTGAAGCAAGTGTCCCAATTTCTAGCAGGAAATTTAACACTGGGAAAGTAGTGCAGGCTCCAATGCCAGTGTCAACTGTCTGAAATATTTACACAGTCACAGACCAGAGATAAGACTGCTAACCTGATAAAGAAATGAACCACTCCACATTCTTTTAAAGTCCAGCATAATGCAAATAGGCCCAGATTTCCCAAAGTGTATAGGCATTGTCACTTTTGCGAACGAGAGGACTTTAAGTCACCATGCACTGCTGGCTAGAACATATGTAAAAAGGGGTAAACTTTTGGGCCATGGTGTTTTACAAACCTAGAGAAGGGTGCAGACTACAATATTCAGAGCAAGGTTTCTAATTAATCCAAAATTTGGCAGGGATTAGGAGCTAGGATTTTAGCTTGGCATGATTGGCAGTCCCCGCCAATGGATTCAGCTCCCTACCAGTTTAAAAAACCCTCCCCAAAATGGAAAAGGAAGCAAACCAAATAAGATGAAGAAAAGAAAAGTACCACCCCTTGAGGACAATCCCAGCAATGTCCGAGAAAGATGCCTGATAAACTACTGCTAGTGAGTACAAAGTTTGTTTGCAGGCAAGCTCTTATCTTAATGAGTTGTGGGCTGGTCTGCTTTAATCCAAACCCATAGACCATTTAGAGGAAATGAAGCATGTGAGTTATTGAACCATGCCTTGCTGAAAACCATTCTGGTTTGGCCAGCATGAAATATTCTGCAGACACACATAAGTCGGTGAATTTTCCTGAAGCACTTTTGCTAGTGTGAAAATCCTGCTCCTGAATTTTGAGCCTGAAGTCAGACCTACTGTAGGCCCATTCCAGGCCTAGGACGGTTAGGTGTCTAAA